AACAATATTATTGCTGCTGTATAATAGTATTGAGATCTGCATCACAGGAAAATGGTCCACGCTGTCACCCCTTTATGCAGCTGCAAACCTCAATCAATAAGTTAATTAACATATGAACAACACCAGTATTGCTCTGGCTTTCGTGCTGTCAGAATAATCCATGTCGCTCAGATTGCAGATGATAAATAAGATATTGTTCAACTTATTTTCCCTGAGTACATTATTTGGTACTATGCTTTGTACTTTCCAGAGAAAAGAAACTGAAAGGCAGAGTGCAGGAGTTGGTGAGTGCCTTAGAAAGACTAACTAAGAGCAGCGAAATTCGGCATCAGCAGTCTGCAGAGTTTGTTAATGACTTGAAAAGAGCAAACAGGTAACGAGTTCCTCCAGTCAACGCAACATACAGTATGCTGAGCTAAATTCACGTTTTTTGTTACGCTTGCTATGAATCACTATATGGAATATATATGACTGTCAATTCACTAGCAGAGTGTTGGACTTAAGATGCAGAGCAGAGCAGAGCTGTGTAGCCAGCTGGGGTTGAAAAGTTGGTGTGGGGATCCTGCCCAATATGTTAATAACCATTTAAGATGCTGCCAATCAGAATGGATGTTTAGGTATGACTATCTTAGCCTATGTTTTCTATATGTTTCAATAGTAACCTTGTGGCTGCCTATGAGAAAGCAAAGAAGAAGCACCAAAACAAGCTGAAGAAACTGGAATCCCAGATGATGGCAATGGTAGAAAGACATGAGACTCAAGTCAGGATGCTCAAACAAAGAATTGCTTTGCTGGAAGAAGAGAACTCAAGACCCCATACCAATGAAACATCCCTTTAAGAGAGATTAGTTTTCTTGAAATCAATGTGCCATTACAAAAATGACTTTTTACAAGACTCATTGAGATTGTAAACACAGTTGTGAATTGATACGAATCAGGCAAAGTTAGAGATCAATACCTCATGGTGAGACTGCAACTTCAACAATACACAGCCATGGGCAGGAGCCCCCAAACTAATGTTTTTGTATAGTTGAACATACTCAGTGCCTGTTGGTAAATGTATCAGTTTATCACATTTCCAATGTAATAGTTTTACTGATATTATTACAGATTCTCTTATAAATTTCAAATTTGTATGAGTAAAGTCTATTCCTCTACTCTTAATTGTTGAACACACTCTTTGGAGTCTATCATAAAAATGAGGCAATGCTGGAATACCAGCGCACTCATAGCTATCGGTTGGATAACAGCATTTTCCCATTTTCTTTTGTCATTCATTTTGCATTCCCCCTTACAATGTAAAGTAGATATCTGAAGCCAGCCTCTAGGTACACAGCATAATCAAGTATTAGCATACAAATGGCTTTTAGGGGAACAGAAATTACTCTTGCTTTTTCAAGTGATAGGAAATCACAATAAATACTGCACATATATAGTTATTGCAGTGATGAAGGTGTAAGTTGCTAAATAGATGATGTAACTCAAATCAAAAGGAAGATGTAGTAGAAAGGTGATTTTAAAGTGGGCTTTTGAAGACTAAATTAGTTCGAGCTTTTTGCTTTTCATTAAATAGCATAAGAATATGGGAAATAGAAAAAATTTATGTCAAACCAACTGGAATAACTTCTTCCACACTATAACTATTTTTCTATCTGATACAGTAGTGCCAGTTTTAGGATGTGCCCGCTGAAAATGTCCCAGCATTATGTTGCATGGTTTGGTAAACCTGCAGTTTGCCATATCAGTCAGTCATGGGAATAGAATCTATGGTAATTCTGAGACTAACCATCTAGTGCAGTATTTCTCAAACATGGCAATTGTAAGATGCGTGGACTTCATCTCCCAGAATTCATGTTTGGGAAACACTGATTTATTGTCAAAAGACAAGCTATTTCACTGCTGCTATCCATCACAAATATTGAGGTTGTTCTTAATTTGTAGCAGTTAGGCATTTATTAAAGAGACAAAGGAGCATATTGCTGGACAATGTCTAATCCTTTGTACTCTGTATATAAATTACATGGGAGTTGCAAAATATTCTAGAATGGTGTGTGTATGGGACTAGATCCATAAAACCAATTCAGCTGTTTAGTTCCAAACAATATTCCACTTTGCTCATTTTACTTTATTTTCTGATTGAAACCAGCATAAAATGTTAAGGAATGTGCCTGATTAAATGAATGTAAATGTACTTCCCAAGAAATGTTTTGGGAACACTAATTTCCAGCGGGGATCAGTTATGATGCTAATACTATCCCTTAACTCAGTAAATCATATCAGTTAGAAGTAGAAGATAATGCTGTATTATGTCCCTTAAATTTTAAAGCCTTTTTAAATTGAAATGTCTTTCTGTTCTATTTTTCTTTTGTGATATAGCATAAGCGCAGCAATAATTCTTTTTTCTTTAGTCTGCTGTATAGATGTCATTGGACATTAACGTTTTAAGGATAATCCTCAATTGTGGCAGATGCTATGCTGTGGTGCCTTCCTTTTAGAAATGGTTTCTCCTTGCACTGATTCTTGGAAAGACTACAAGAAAACCAATAGTCTACCAATCTCTTCTTAGTCTCTTGAGCGTTCTTTCACATTTAGTCTTTGTAGGTGATTTAATATGCTTTTTAATCGAACTAAAATTGTACTTACTCTTATCTCCTTTATACTGAAGATCAGCATCTAATCATGTTTTCAAATGAACCAAGTTAGCTAGGCCTAACCTGCATTGTTTTATTAGGATTACTTAGAAACATTAAATTATCTCAACTTGGAGTTGTCCAAAATAAGAACTATGTAAGAGTTTATTTTCAATAAACCCTGTGCATTTGAATTTGGTATAGACAGAACATTCCAGATTGCCTTTTCCAAAAGTGGAGTTAAAAAAATACAGTGTCCCATTCCTGCTCCTGTACCATGCAGTCTTCTAAGCTCTTGCCTCATGAGTGTCAGAGCTTATCTCTATGACAGGTTTGGGAAGGAAAGGATAGGGCAGAAAAACATCCCTTGAAGCTGGCACTGATTAATTCGATCTTTTTCATCCAATAGACAAAAATGGCCGCCTCCTCACCAACGTGATCATGACAGATGTTGACTATGATATCCTTCACCCGTGATTCTCCCCATCTCCATGTGACACCCAGGATATTGCTCTGCGAGTGATTCACATTAGGCTTCATTGGGGCCAGTTTTCTTGCCTTTTTTCTGTTTGGCATTTTTCAACATAGTACATCTGTTTTACGATAAATGCTATGATTGTTAGGCAAAACTACACCAACTCCATTATCTAAGCAAATCAGATAATTCTAAGAAAAATTTTGATGGGAGAATATAGTAAAAGATTAGGGGAATTCATCCCTTTTGTTCCTTTTTTCTTTGCAAATTGTAAACCACAAGTAAGTCTGAAAAAGATTATTCATTCCCATTTTAAAATTTCTTATTGCATGATTTAGCATTTTTTTATAATAGTATTTTATCATTGTATTTAGGGTAGTCTAATTTTCTCAATCATTCTGCGTTAGAAATCTTCAGAATTGTACTGTGAACTAAATTATACATTCCATATTTTACTTACAATTCTTAACCTATTTTAACTGACATGCCATTCAGTTGTTTTTCCATGAGGTATGGTTCAAAGCACTTTTTAAAATAAGGTGAGACTTGTAACAAGGAAATACAAACCTGAAATTTAAAGGTTCTACTGCCACTGTGGAGTTGATGGCTTGATGCAGCTTAATAATGGAAAAGCTTAGAAATGCATATTGAATACATCAAGCCTTTTTCAGAAGGTATTTGTTTCAACATTGTCTATTTTCAGCTTCCATACCACATCAAACTATATTTAAGGAAGCTGAATTTGTACCTTGAGCATAATTCATAAATTGAAGAGAAATAATAGCTAGGGTTATAGTTCACATCAAGTCAGCTTCATCTATGGAAAGGGAGTAAATAGTGTGAACAAAAGATCTGTAACAGTACTTTTCCACTTCCGTTCTTTAGAAATCATTAATTTTTCAGCCAATGAAAGACAACCAAAAGGAGCAAGTTTGGCAAGTTTAAGCCT